CCTGGGGTGGGTGTGGGCACCTGGGGGGTGTGGCCAGGGGGGCTCTGGGGGTCCCCTCAGGTGACTGCAGGGAAGGACAAGGCTGTGCTGTTCTTTCCTTCCACTCTGGGGAAAAAGTTCTCACGGTGTGGAGATGTGCCACCATCAGTCTTACCTCCAGTGGCACATCCTGTTCGAATTGCAGCCCCGGGCAGCCCCCTTCTCAGGGCCTGTCTCTGGATGACATCAGAAGGAATTTCCAGTATCCCCCCGTGGACAAGAACGGTGAGCTGCACACACAGTGTGCTGCCCGGGCAGGCTGTGGTGCTGGCCCTGCAGCACCCTGTGCCAGCTGCAGTGACCCTCTCTGCCCCGGCAGGGTACGTGTCTGACCCCTTGAGCACCATGAGGTTCCACCCCTGCAGCAGCAGCTTGGAGGACAGCAGCTGAGGGAGGGAGCATCCCCTGCCCGGCCATCGAGCTCAGCACGGAGCCCCGAGTGCCACCCTGGGATGGCAAATGTCCCTGTCCTGCATCTGCTTTGCATCCCCTCAGCTGACCCCCCTGTGCCACCAACAGGCCCTGCAGCAGCAGCTCTGGCCGCTGGGCATTACAAACCAGAGCACAGGCAGGGCAGCAGGAGCTGAGCTCTTCCTCTAGAAGCAATTTCAGAGTTAATCATGCTGTTATTTTCTGGGGCCTTTTTACAGCTTAACAAGATTTATCTGTAATCCTGTATGTGTGGCCAAGGTAGAGCTGCCTTCCTGGCTGAGCAGTATCAGTATTCAGTTTATATCAGTATTTCAGGGATCAATATTTCCCTTTCATGGCAGTTTCTGGGATGTTATTGAGGATGTTGTTTTTCTACAGCCACGATCCCTGCAGCAGCCGTGCAGTGAGGCTCGAGCAGGGTGGCAGACACGAACTGTGGCTGCATGGTGGGCTCTGACAATGCTTCTGCCATTACTTCAATAGTGCTGAAGCAATAAAAATGGGGAAGATTTCACTAAGCAAAGCTTAGAGGTCGTTTTCCATTTGTTCTGTTTCACTTGCTGAAAAGCTGAATGGGGAGAAGCTGTTACAGCTCTGCCACCACTGCCCCTGGTTCCAGTCAGGAGTTAGCACTGCTGCACTGGGCTGGGTCTCAGGGGCAGTTCCATTCACACCAGCGGCTGCTGGGACAACAGAAATGGCAGAATGAACACACAGGAAAGCCTGGGATGGGGCTCACAAGGAGACCTGCTGGAGCCTGTCTGCAATCATGAGATTCCCATGGAAGGGGCTGAACAAGAGGAACTACAAAGCTCCAGCAAACCACAACAAAACAACATCCAGATTGGTGTACAGCTGAAGGAAATCTGTTATATTCTTTCTAGAAGTACAAGCCAGGGTGGCAGTGTGTGTGCTGTGAGGGAAGGGGGGCAGAGCAGAAGGGAGAAGCTGCATCTGGGATGCTGATGAGAATTGCTCCCTGGCTCTAATTGGGCAGATGAGGATCTGCTCCACATGGCCAAGAACAGGCTGGTGGAAGAGGCTGGACAGAGGTTAGGTCTCATTCCTTGGTCTTTGCATTGACCAGAAACACCAGTGGTGCAGAAAGGGTCCATTGTCAGATCTGAAAAATCAGTTCCACCACTGATTCTTTTTCAACAGGAATTTTTTTCTTACAAATATCTTTGCATTCTGTCTTTTTCCCTTGCTTAAATTAACCATGCAGTGACTCTGCATTTAGAGAGTTGGCCTGAAAACCAGAAACTAAACTGGATTAGAGAAACAAAAGTGGAGCAAGGAAGCAGACTTTATGTGCATTAATACCTCTGTGTACTCACTGATACCTGAGCTGCAGGTGTCATCCCTGAGCACTTTCTCAGAACATGTCAGAGGGGAACACATGGAAGCAACAACAACAAAAAAAAACCAGAATGCAAAACTTTTTTCGTTTAAAAGCTCTTTACAAAGACAAGTGCTTGCATATCATTTTAAAACTAATTAAAATTACTGGTTCCTTGAAGGAAACAATGTCTTAGTTAATTGCTCTCTATAGAAGAAAATTAGGCTCAGGGGAAATATGTGTTTCATAGGAGTGATCAGTTAGTAAAACAAACAAACTCTGAAAAATGTAAAGAAGTAGAAGATGTTCCAAAGCAGTCTGTCCTGTTTCCAGAGAAGCCCCAGCACACCGAAATATTTACCAAGAATGAGATGCTAAGAGGATTCTTACCCTGCTTTGGAGACCTGCCAGTGCCTGGCAGCTATAGTGATATTTTAAATTGTTTAACAGATCAGCAATAGGTGATCTAGATTAAAACAATCTGGCATCCAACCAGACAAGGGTTTGGACAGCAGCCAGAAGTGAGCCTGGCATCCCTGCAGCAGC